ACACAACTTTAGCTTACGGGATCTGGTTGCGGTTCTAGTTCTTATACCCAATCATACAAACGTTATCTAGTCATATTTGACTCCAAAAACACTAACCAAGCTTCTTATTGCCTCTCAAAGCTTTGTGGGTATGGCCGAAGTCCTATGAGTTTTCGGTTTTGGAGTTTCTAAACGGAAAAACAGTACTTTAGCTTACGGGATCCAGTTGCGGTTCTAGTTCTTATACCCAATCATACACACGTTTTCTAGTCATATTTGACTCCAAAAGCACTAACCAAGCTTCTTATTGCCTCTCAAAGCTTTGTGGGTATGGCCGAAGTCCTATGAGTTTTCGGTTTTGGAGTTTCTAAACGGAAAAACACTACTTTAGCTTACGGGATCCAGTTGCGGTTCTAGTTCTTATACCCAATCATACACACGTTTTCTAGTCATATTTGACTCCAAAAACACTAACCAAGCTTCTTAATGCTTCTCAAAGCTTTGTGGGTGTGGCCCGAAGTCCTATGAGTTTTTGGTTTTGGAGCTTCTAAACGGAAAAACACTACTTTAGCTTACGGGATCCGGTTGAAGTTCTAGTTCTTATACCCAATCATACAAACGTTATCTAGTCATATTTGACTCCAAAAACACTAACCAAGCTTCTTATTGCCTCTCAAAGCTTTGTGGGTATGGCCGAAGTCCTATGAGATTTCGGTTTTGGAGCTTCTAAACGGAAAAACACTACTTTAGCTTACGGGATCCGGTTGCGGTTCTAGTTCTTATACCCTATCATACACACGAGATCTAGTCATATTTGACTCCAAAAACACTAACCAAGCTTCTTATTGCCTCTCATAGCTTTGTGGGTATGACCGAAGTCCTATGAGATTTCGGTTTTGGAGCTTCTAAACGGAAAAAACACTACTATAGCTTACGGGATCCGGTTGCGGTTCTAGTTCTTATACCCTATCATACACACGAGATCTAGTCATATTTGACTCCAAAAACACTAACCAAGCTTCTTAACGCCTCTCAAAGCTTTGTGGGTGTGGCCAAAGTCCTATGAGCTTTTGGTTTTGGAGCTTCTAAACAGAAAAACACTACTTTAGCTTACGGGATATGGTTGCGGTTCTAGTTCTTATACCCAATCATACAAACGTTATCTAGTCATATTTGACTCCAAAAACACTAACCAAGCTTCTTATTGCCTCTCAAAGCTTTCTGGGTATGGCCGAAGTCCTATGAGTTTTCGGTTTTGGAGTTTCTAAACGGAAAAACACAACTTTAGCTTACGGGATCCAGTTGCGGTTCTAGTTCTTATACCCAATCATACACACGTTTTCTAGTCATATTTGACTCCAAAAGCACTAACCAAGCTTCTTATTGCCTCTCAAAGCTTTGTGGGTATGGCCGAAGTCCTATGAGTTTTCGGTTTTGGAGTTTCTAAACGGAAAAACACTACTTTAGCTTACGGGATCCAGTTGCGGTTCTAGTTCTTATACCCAATCATACACACGTTTTCTAGTCATATTTGACTCCAAAAACACTAACCAAGCTTCTTAATGCTTCTCAAAGCTTTGTGGGTGTGGCCCGAAGTCCTATGAGTTTTTGGTTTTGGAGCTTCTAAACGGAAAAACACTACTTTAGCTTACGGGATCCGGTTGCTGTTCTAGTTCTTATACCCAATCATACACACGTTTTCTAGTCATATTTGACTCCAAAAACACTAACCAAGCTTCTTAATGCCTCTCAAAGCTTTGTGGGTGTGGCCGAAGTCCTATGAGTTTTTGGTTTTGGAGCTTCTAAACGGAAAAACACTACTTTAGCTTACGGGATCTGGTTGCGGTTCTAGTTCTTATACCCAATCATACAAACGTTATCTAGTCATATTTGACTCCAAAAACACTAACCAAGCTTCTTATTGCCTCTCAAAGCTTTGTGGGTATGGCCGAAGTCCTATGAGTTTTCGGTTTTGGAGTTTCTAAACGGAAAAACACTACTTTAGCTTACGGGATCCAGTTGCGGTTCTAGTTCTTATACACAATCATACACACGTTTTCTAGTCATATTTACTCCAAAAGCAATAACCAAGCTTCTTATTGCCTCTCAAAGCTTTGTGGGTATGGCCGAAGTCCTATGAGTTTCGGTTTTGGAGTTTCTAAACCGAAAAACACTACTTTAGCTTACGGGATCCAGTTGCGGTTCTAGTTCTTATACCCAATCATACACACGTTTTCTAGTCATATTTGACTCCAAAAACACTAACCAAGCTTCTTAATGCCTCTCAAAGCTTTGTGGGTGTGGCCGAAGTCCTATGAGTTTTTGGTTTTGGAGCTTCTAAACAGAAAAACACTACTTTAGCTTACGGGATCCGGTTGCTGTTCTAGTTCTTATACCCAATCATACACACGTTTTCTAGTCATATTTGACTCCAAAAACACTAACCAAGCTTCTTAATGCCTCTCAAAGCCTTGTGGGTGTGGCCGAAGTCCTATGAGTTTTTGGTTTTGGAGCTTCTAAACGGAAAAACACTACTTTAGCTTACGGGATCTGGTTGCGGTTCTAGTTCTTATACCCAATCATACAAACGTTATCTAGTCATATTTGACTCCAAAAACACTAACCAAGCTTCTTATTGCCTCTCAAAGCTTTGTGGGTATGGCCGAAGTCCTATGAGTTTTCGGTTTTGGAGTTTCTAAACGGAAAAACACTACTTTAGCTTACGGGATCCAGTTGCGGTTCTAGTTCTTATACCCAATCATACACACGTTTTCTAGTCATATTTGACTCCAAAAGCACTAACCAAGCTTCTTATTGCCTCTCAAAGCTTTGTGGGTATGGCCGAAGTCCTATGAGTTTTCGGTTTTGGAGTTTCTAAACGGAAAAACACTACTTTAGCTTACGGGATCCAGTTGCGGTTCTAGTTCTTATACCCAATCATACACACGTTTTTTAGTCATATTTGACTCCAAAAACACTAACCAAGCTTCTTAATGCCTCTCAAAGATTTGTGGGTGTGGCCGAAGTCCTATGAGTTTTTGGTTTTGGAGCTTCTAAACGGAAAAACACTACTTTAGCTTACGGGATCTGGTTGCGGTTCTAGTTCTTATACCCAATCATACAAACGTTATCTAGTCATATTTGACTCCAAAAACACTAACCAAGCTTCTTACTGCCTCTCAAAGCTTTGTGGGTATGGCCGAAGTCCTATGAGTTTTCGGTTTTGGAGTTTCTAAACGGAAAAAACACTACTTTAGCTTACGGGATCCAGTTGCGGTTCTAGTTCTTATACCTAATCATACACACGTTTTCTAGTCATATTTGACTCCAAAAGCACTAACCAACCTTCTTATTGCCTCTCAAAGCTTTGTGGGTATGGCCGAAGTCCTATGAGTTTTCGGTTTTGGAGTTTCTAAACGGAAAAAACACTACTTTAGCTTACGGGATCCAGTTGCGGTTCTAGTTCTTATACACAATCATACACACGTTTTCTAGTCATATTTACTCCAAAAGCAATAACCAAGCTTCTTATTGCCTCTCAAAGCTTTGTGGGTATGGCCGAAGTCCTATGAGTTTTCGGTTTTGGAGTTTCTAAACGGAAAAACACTACTTTAGCTTACGGGATCCAGTTGCGGTTCTAGTTCTTATACCCAATCATACACACGTTTTCTAGTCATATTTGACTCCAAAAACACTAACCAAGCTTCTTAGTGCCTCTCAAAGCTTTGTGGGTGTGGCCGAAGTCCTATGAGTTTTTGGTTTTGGAGCTTCTAAACGGAAAAAACACTACTTTAGCTTACGGGATCCGGTTGCTGTTCTAGTTCTTATACCCAATCATACACACGTTTTCTAGTCATATTTGACTCCAAAAACACTAACCAAGCTCCAAAAACTCCAAAAACACGTTTTCTACTCACATCAATCCTTTCTTTTCTTTGCCTTTCTATCCTAGGAGAAGCTTTCTTACTTTGCTCTGTCTAGCGGATTAGGATTCTTTAACAACTAGGGTTCCCTTTTCTTTCTTCTCATAAACACAAGGCTTTTGCCCATTCTCTTTAAGCTATTTACAGAACCCTTTTTTTTTACTTTAACATTCCCAAATCCTTTACTAGACTTTTCTTACTTTAGCTACTTCTCCTTAGGACTCTTTTCCCTTTTCTTTTCTTTCAATGATGAACACGACCTTTTCTTTCTTTTAAACACAACCCAAACCCAGAATTAAGCACCCACCTAGTCCTATCTGGTCCAGATAACGTGAACCAGAACTACATGAGATACTATCCTTGTCGTTACAGACCTAACACTTTCTACCAAGCTCAATCGAAATAAGGCCTCACATTCACACACAAATGATAAATGGCTTGAAAGAAGGTTAAGGTTTAGGGTAGGGAATAACTGCTCCAAAGATGGGAGTCAGCTACTTGGACTAGCAAGAGTGATCAAAAGGTAAAAGAAATTCCAAGTATTTTAAGGTATCCATGAGTTCATAGCACAATGCACAGCATGATAATTATAAGTCAAAATTCAAGTTCAAATAGATAGGGAATGGCATCAAATCAAAGCGAGATTCGACTAAGAACAAGAGAATCAAGCGTTGAATTCAAAAGATGGTGCGGTCTTACTTCAAGTTCAGTCGATTATGCATTAGAGAACTAACAACCAGGGCACTGAGTTCTACTTACTGAATAAGCATATTTACAAGGTTATGATCATCATAATCTCCAATGCAAATGCATGATGCAACAGTCCTATATGAAAGCATACTAAAACAGTCTTAAAATGGCAATGCGAACTACATGAACACTCTTCTTTTGTATTACAATTTTCGAAATTTTTCAAATTTTTTTGGTTTTTCTATGCCTTAGATGATTATGCAATAAGAAAACAGAACACAACATCAAATACTTCTTGGACCCTCCCCCAAACTTAAATTACACAGTCCCTTGTGTAATAAAAATTCAGAAGAGAGCTCAAGAGAAACAAACAACGAAACAGAAAAGCAAACTAATGCAATGAAATAGTACAATGGTTTAGGGGGATGAGTGGTACTTTGGTTTTATCCGAAGTAGGTGTCGAGGAACTCATCCATGCTCTCCTGCGTGTAAGAAGGAGCTGTGCTTGACTTTGGAAGAGGCTGCTCGACATTGGTGTTGTCTTGCATGTAGGGAGGATTAGTTGGCTCTGGAGCAGGCTCGACGTGCAGACTCGACGTGTCATCGAGCTCCATGGTCGAGTCTGCCTCTGGACTTGGCCGCTGAACCTTCCGCTTGCTGCGATGCCTCTGCGAACGCTTGGGGAGTGGTGCAGACTCTTCTTCGCTTTCCCTCTGGCGTGGTTCAAAGGATGAATATCTAGGAGGATCAGCCTTTACCGCGTGTCTTGGAGCCATGCTTGAGGAACCGCTTCTTCTCAAAGTACCTCTCTCTTCTGATGATGATGGAGAATGCTTGGACTTCTTCTGGAGGTCTGTGATCTGAAGCGCCATCTTCTTCACCATGGTGGTCAATGAGTCTACCTTCTTGGACAATCCTCGCATTGCCTTCCCTTGAAACTTTCCCAATCCTTGCAGGAGTCCTATGCGCTTGTGAGCTTCTCTCTCGCCTTTGGTCTGCCTAGGAGCTTTGTATTCCTCGAAGAAGAACCGCTCTGGTGCATAATCATCAGGAGCGTCTTGGGTTTGCTCCTGGTCGTCCTCGTGCATTGCTTGAGGCGGTGGAGAGGCAGGGGCGACTTGTGAATCGTAGAGAATGAAGGATGGTGGGCAGAAATCGATGTTCTCACCAGCCCTAACCGTGGTGTGATTCGTGCATGGTAGAAGCAGCCTAGAAGTTCCTTCTTCAGGGTGGTTGAACACATAGAGCAACACGCCTTCAGGAGCTGTTTTATCAAGATATCCCTTCTTCCTTAAGTACGCCATATCGATCCAAGTTGGGGAAGAGTCTCCTGTTCCCACGTCTATATTCGCAGCTACCAGAATTGGTGTCAGAATTCCGCCAATGGTCAAGCTTTCTTTGCGCCCTGACCTATGCATTGTTGCAGCATACTCCTTGTATCCCAATAAATGATCCAAGAACACGGCTATTAGAGGAGCATTTCCTCTATCTCCCACCATTTCTGCTCCATCACTAGTGTTTCTTAAGGTAAATAGGAGAGCTAAGTCCAGAAGCTGCAGTACAAAACTGGCATGACCGGTCCAAGCAGGGGCTGGGATCCTCTCGTTGATAATAGCAAAACCACGTGCATCATGTCTTGAAGAAACCCTCTTTCTTTCTTGATCACCATCCATGGTGTTTCCTTCAGCAAAAGAAGAACACAAGGAGCAGAGTGGATCAAATGAGCAGAGAATAGAGTTTTTAAAGAGGAGAAGTGAGTTTTAAACTTTGAAATCGAGTTTTAAAACCAAAGTTTAAGACTTTCAAAGCTTTAAAACGCAAATGCAAAGGGGAAATGAGAGAACTAGAGCTTTAGGTGAAAAAAATGAGAGAAATTGGAGAAATGAGAGAGTGAGAGGGTTGAGGAGTGCTTCTTCCCTTTTAAAGACGCCCAAGGAGACCAAAAGCAAGGGTGGAGCGTGTGGGAGCAGGAAATGTTGGATCTAGAATTCAAATTTGAATTTTGAACGGTCTTGGCGTTGTCTCGACGTGTGGGCTCGACGTGTGGGGTCGAGTAGGACGTCGGCGACTTTGAATTTGAATTTTGGCTCCAAGGTTGACTTGTTTGAAGGTTGACTCGATTTAATGGGCTTGGAGGTGGTGGGCTTGGCTTAGCATCGAGTTGGGCTTCGTTTAAGGCTTGGAGTTGGTCCATTGGGCTAGCTCGACTTGTCGTTGAGTAGGGCACATCGAGTCTGCTCCTTCTCTATTCCTCTGACTCCAATTCGATTAATTCCTGAAAATCACAGACACTACAAAAACATATTAAAAAGAACAAGAGATAAAGAGCTATTTACAAAGATAAACATGGGAATTCCTCCCAAGTGAGCTTGTTTAAAGTCACTAAGCTTGACTTTACTACTCTTTTTAGGCGAGTTGAGGTTCCTGAAGATGGACTGTAGATCCTTCAGGAATGACGCTATCCGCGAGATACTTCTTAAGCCGCTGACCATTCACCTTAAACTCTGACCCGTCCTTGGCAAATAGCGATATCGCACCAAATGGTAGAACTTCTTTGATAGTGAAAGGACCAGACCACCTTGATTTGAGTTTTCCCGGAAATAGCTTGAGTCTGGAGTTGAACAGCAACACTTGGTCTCCAGCCTTGAAGTCTTTTGGTGCAATCTTCTTGTCATGGAAAGCTTTTGTTCTTTCCTTGTACACCTTTGAACTCTCATAAGCTTCAAGCCTTATTTCCTCAAGTTCGTGCAGGTCAACCGATCTCTTCTCTTGAGCTTCTTTAATATCCAAATTCAGCAACTTAGTAGCCCAGATTGCTTTGTACTCTACCTCAACTGGAAGATGACATGACTTCCCGTACAGCATCTGAAATGGAGTCCTTCCAATTGGTGTCTTGAATGCAGTCCGGTAAGCCCAAAGTGTATCATCTAACTTGGCAGACCAGTCTCTCTTTGAAACACCAACAACTCTTGCAAGTATGGCCTTGATCTGACGGTTGGATACTTCTACTTGCCCGCTAGTCTGAGGGTGATAGGGGGTAGCTACCTTGTGTTTTACACCGTGCTTCTTTAACAGACTCTCAAAGACCTTGTTGATAAAATGAGAACCTCCATCACTGATCACAGCCTTAGGGATACCAAATCTTGGGAATATGATGCTCTTAAACAGCTTTAAGACAACCTTATGATCATTAGTTGGAGATGCAATGGCCTCAACCCATTTGGAGACGTAGTCTACAGCAACTAGGATGTACTTATTACCATAGGAAGCAGGATTGAATGGTCCCATGAAATCAATTCCCCACACATCAAAGACTTCCGCCTCTAGGATCGGGTTCTGCGGCATTTCATTCCTCCTGGTGATGTTTCCCATTCTCTGGCAGGGATCACATTTAGCAATGAATCCATATGCATCTTTAAACATGGAAGGCCACCAAAGGCCGGCTTGAAGAACCTTCTGTACTGTCTTGAAGGTAGCAAAGTGACCGCCATAAGCAGAACCATGACAGTGTTCCAGCACTCCTTGAACTTCCTCTTCAGCAATACACCTTCTAAATAGGCCATCAGTACCCTTCTTATACAAATAGGGTTCATCCCAGTAGTAGTGGTTGATGTCTCTAAAGAACTTCTTCTTCTGGTAAGCATCAAGGTATTTGGGGATCTCTCCACAGATAAGATAATTCACAAGGTCAGCATACCATGGAAACTCTTCTTCCTTGACAGCACAAGCTTCTTCGAATTCCTTCTTGTTGTATGCCAGTTTATAGCACTTGAAAGCCAACAGCTGCTCTTCAGGCATTGAATCATCTATCGGAGTAGCTTCTTCCATTCTCATTCTTGAAAGATGGTCAGCTGCACCATTCTCAATCCCTTTCTTGTCTACTATTTCCATATCAAACTCTTGCAGAAGCAATATCCACCTTAACAGTCTCGGCTTAGTGTCCTTCTTGGCATATATATGTCTCAGGGCAGCATGGTCTGTATAGACAGTGACCTTTGATCCAACCAAATAGCTCCTGAACTTCTCAAAGGCAAATACAACAGCTAGAAGCTCCTTCTCCGTTGTTGCATACCTTCCTTGGGCTTCGTCCAGAGTTCTGCTGGCGTAGTATATAACGTGAAGTTTCTTGTCGATTCTCTGGCCTAAGACAGCTCCCACAGCGTAATCTGAAGCGTCACACATAATCTCGAACGGATAGTCCCAATTAGGAGCTTGAACAACAGGAGCAGTTACCAAAGCTTCCTTGATGGTATGGAAAGCTTTGAGGCAATCTTCATCAAATTCGAATTCCGCCTCTTTGCATAGAAGTCTTGTTAATGGTCTGGCTATCTTGGAGAAATCCTTAATAAACCTCCTGTAGAACCCAGCGTGGCCAAGGAAACTTCTGATGTCTTTGACTGTCTTTGGTGGCTGTAACTGCATCATCACTTCAATTTTACCCTTGTCAACCTCTATGCCCTTCTCAGATATCTTATGACCCAACACAATGCCTTCCCTGACCATAAAATGGCACTTCTCCCAATTGAGAACAAGATTAGTCTCTTCACACCTGGTCAACACCCTGCAAAGATTCAACAAACATGAGGAGAAGGAGGAGCCATAGACCGAAAAATTGTCCATGAATACCTCCACCATCTCCTCGATCAAATCCGAGAAAATAGAGGTCATACACCTCTGAAAAGTTGCAGGAGCATTGCATAAACCAAATGGCATTCTCTTATAGGCAAAAGTTCCATAGGGACATGTAAAAGTGGTTTTTTCTTGATCATTAGGGTGAATCGGTATTTGAAAGAAACCACTATATCCGTCAAGAAAGCAATAATATGGATGATTAGCTAAGCGTTCTAGCATTTGATCAATGAATGGCAAAGGAAAGTGATCTTTTCTAGATGCAGCGTTTAATTTCCTATAGTCAATACACATCCTATGTCCTGTTATAGTCCTAGTAGGAATTAATTCATCTTTTTCATTTCTAACAACAGTCATTCCACCCTTCTTAGGCACACAGTGAACAGGTGAAACCCATGTACTATCAGAGATTGGATAAATAACATCAGCATCAAGCAATTTAAGAATTTCTTTTTTCACTACTTCTTTCAAGTTAGGGTTTAACCTTCTCTATGGTTCAATACTAGAATAGGATTCGTTTTCAAGGTGAATTCTATGATTGCATAAGCTAGGTGAAATTCCTTTTATATCAGACAATGAATAACCGATAGCTCTCCTATACTTCCTAAGCTCAGACAACAGCAAATTCACTTCATCATCATTCAATGCAGCATTTATGATCACAGGGTAAGTAGAGTTTGTTCCGAGAAACTGCGTACCTTAGACCTTGCGGAAGCGGTTTGAGGTCTACCTTAGGTGCTTTGAGCTCAGACCAGTTATCTGAGGTGGGAGAGGGCCATCTCGACGTGTCGTCGAGCTTGCTGGTCGAGTCTGCTCTCTGGACTTCTTCAGAAATTGAACTGGGAAGGCCTACTCGACGTGTGGTCGAGTAGGTAGGTCGAGTCTGCTCTGAAGCGTCTTCTTCCACTGTACTGACTTCTGCAACTGGTACCTCTAACTTCTCAAAGCATTCTGATGATTCTTCTTCTTTATGGGAGTCTAGCAGCTTCTTATACCCCAATGTCTCTAAGTGTAAGAACCCTTCTTCTCCGTCTTTGGTAAGAGCACTCTGTAGGTAGTCTTCTTCAGTAAGCTCTTCAAGTAGTTCGTCAGCTAAACGATCCATTTCTTCTATGTAGAACACTTGTCCGTCAATGGTAGGTTTCTTCATCGTCTTAGTGATGTCGAATGTCATCTTGAAATCTTCACCGAGGTTTAAGTCGATCTTACCTCTTCTGACATCAATTAGAGCTCCAGCAGTAGCTAAGAAGGGTCTCCCTAGTATGAGAGGGTCCTTTGGCTCTTCATCCATTTCTAGAACAACGAAGTCTGTAGGGATCTCCACTCTTCCAATCTTCACGGGTAGATCCTCTAACATACCATGAGGGACTCTTACGGATCTGTCGGCTAAGATCAGTTGGATTTGGCAGGACTTATACTTGTTGAAACCGAGTCTTCTTGCTACTCGAGAGTGGCATCAAACTGACTGATGCACCTAGATCACATAGGCATTTGTTGAAGAACAAAGGGCCTAATGAACAGGGTAGAGTAAATGAGCCAGGATCCCCAAGCTTCTTTGGTATGATCTTCTTCTGTATGATAGCACTGCATTCATGGCTCAACACTACCATTCCTTGTACTTCCTGAATTCTCTCCATTATCATGTCCTTCAAGTACTTGTGAGAATCCGGAATCAGCATGAAAGCATCAATGAGAGGCATCCTTAATTCAATCTCCTTGATGTGTTTAGCAAACATGGCTCTGTACTTCTCAATGATATCCCTCTTGAATCTTCCTGGAAATGGTATTTTGGGCTTGTAGGGCGGTGGGACAAAAGCTTTCTTCTTACCCTTATCAACAGTTGGTTTTTCGATTTGGGGACTCTTAGCTTGATCACTAGGTACAGCATCCTGGTCAAGCTTAGTGGTGTCTTCTACTGGAATTTCATTCTGAATAGAATCCTCCCCTTCTTGAATCTCACTGTCCTCAGTGACAGGATCTTGGTTAGGTCGAGCACGCAGCTCTCGACCACTGCGGAGTTGAATTGCATTAGCATACTCTCTTGGATTCTGAATAGCTTTCCCGGGTAGTTGTCCGGGATGTTT